AATTTTTATTAAAAAAAAAAATATATTATATATATATATATATATATATATATATATATATACACAGTATATAAATACATACATATAACATTTTGTGAAAAAATTTATTTAAAGTTAAAGAAAAAAAATCTGTATAATTCGTGGACAGCTGAGATGGTAAAATAAATAAAATCAAATAAAAATCAGCACCTGGTTCTAATGGATGCATGACACATTAAGCACTGAAATGGACCCAGTTTCACCTCTATCTGAAAAACAGAAGTGCTTATGATTATCTGTACTACCTCATTACATGACATGTTTCTCGATGGAAAGCCTGACTAGTTTTTGTGAATCGATTCTTTCAAAGAGTTCATTTAAATGATTCAGCGTTTCTCTCTTTTCTATTTAGTTGAATTAGTAATGGCATTATGCCAAGTATTAATTTCATCTGTCAGTTTATTGAGTCATGAATAGAGGTATACGAGTCGAAGACGATTCTTGCTGGTTAACCAGATCATTAGAACCCGAACTTGTTGGACAAAGATGGTTCTCGGTTCAATGAGTTCACTCACTGAGTTGTTGACGCGTAAAGTCCGGTTCTGTCCAACTGATTCGACTCACAAGAATGATTCACTCGGACAATGATAATGCATCATTCTAGACAAATCATGAAGAAAATGCATAGAAATAACTAGTCTGTAACTTAGCCTATATGAAAAGACAAACTGGATACACATCTAGGATTTTATAATTCACCAATAGTCTACGAATCGCACCAGCTGTCATCATCACTAGTATACTACCATCACTTATTTCTGAAGGCTACAACAACAAATAAAGCCAAAAACGACTATACTAGTTCATGCACAACGCTGACAGCGCCAAATAACGGTAGAAAAACGTACCTTCATCCTCATGCTGAGATGTGTCTACCCTGCGCTCCTAAAGACCATAAACTTCATGATCTCCATCCGACAGAATAAACGCTGCATGCATGTGAAAGAGACGCGCTGCTTATTAAAATAGCTCCTCAAGGAGCGGGGGCTGAAGACGAGGGGGGAAAGAGCCAAGGACTCACACAAAACAGCCCAACATGACATCAGCCCTCATTTCTCTAAATGCATATCAAACTGGACGCACTTTCATTTTAACGATTGAAGCGCGTCTTTACGCAGCGACGTGCATTATAAGCGAATAACGCTTCTGACGCGCTCCTTTTTTAAACGAGTCCGTATGCATTCAAGTTATGCGAATATGAACATGTTGAGGATCTGCGCTGCAGAGGAAGTGAAAGTTTGGGTGGTATAGGGCTGAACAGTTAGATTAGCAAACTGACTAGCTTCGCAAAGATCCAGCAGGTGTTAGTTAGATCAATTAAAAAGACACTCAGTCCTAACATCCGGATCTCTGCGTTAAACAACTTTGGGTTGCATTTAATTATTTTTGCCTGACTTTGAAATAAATGTGCATGGATATATGTCACGCAAAGCCTTTGACAGTTTTATCCACGAAACTCATGGCAATGTAAATGAATGATACTGACCTCTTTGCTGTAGGGTGACTGAGAGCTCAAGGGCAAAATTCACCGTCCTAAAAACATCTATTTCAGCCGGAAATGGAGTATTTTAAACGTTTTGTTGGCCCATGTTCGCCTGTCTGTCTGTCTATCGGACTTCCTGGATGAACAGCCGCGTGCGCATATAGTGAAGATCATTATGCATGCGCGCACGGAAATAAATGCACGACATCTCCACAATGTAGGCTATGCAAAGCAGCACTTTTAACCTCAGTCCGGAATAAGCCGATAAATAACTATATATGGATGAATCTTCATTAAGTATGATTAAAAGAAAATAATAACGCTTAGTTATTTCAGTATAGAATATAATAGCTTCGTTTAAAAAAAAAAGAATTCTCTCATAAGAGTGTTGAAATGATACATTCGCAAGAATTTCACAATTCTGGACTTGTTCCTTTTTTTTAAAACTTCGATTCTATAATAAATGTATAAGAGTGTTTCTTACAAAAACAGGAAATAATACTTTGCACTTGTATAACTTTTTTTTTTTTTTTAAACACTGTGAATTCAGATTTTTTTTAAATATTCTATTTGTTTATAATGGAAATCAGAAGTGACAAGAAAGCAATCTCTGACATTGTGGCAGAAGATCAGAAATGTCATTAATTTGAAGAGTTTTACATCATGATCTGAGTAGCTTCAGATAACATTAACAAACCTTTTGTGTGTGTGTGTGTGTGTGTGTTTGTCTGTCTGTCTATGTGTGTGTGTGTGTGTGTGTGTGTGTGTGTGTCTGTCTGTCTGTCTGTCTGTCTATGTGTGTGTGTGTGTGTGTGTGTGTGTGTGTGTCTGTCTGTCTGTCTGTGTCTGTGTGTGTGTGTCTGTCTGTCTGTGTGTGTGTGTCTGTGTCTGTGTGTCTGTCTGTGTGTGTATACCTGTTTTTCTATTCTGGTGGGGACTTAAACCTGAATACACACAGACTCATGGGGACTCGTGTCATGGTGGGGACCTAAATTGAGGTAAACAAGCTTATAAAATCACACAGAATGAAGTTTTTTGAAAATCTAAACAGACAGAAAGTTTCCTGTGAGGGGTAGGTTTAGGTGTAGGGTTGGTGTAGGACAACAGAATATACGGTCTGTACAGTATAAAAACCATTACGCCTATGGAGAGTCCCCACAAGGATAGCAAACCAGACATGTGTGTGTGTGTGTGTGTGTGTGTATGTGTGTGTGTGTGTTAGCAAAACAGAATCTTGTCTAACTTTACAAATAAAGTGTAAAATGTCATTGCATCACACATTACAAAAAAAAATCCACTTGGAGGTTCATATAGGCTATGAAATATTGCATGAATATTTGAAGCCTAGTCAAATTAAAGCATGATATCCGTGTCTTTAGGGCACATGCAACACAAGCTGTCGTTTTGGCTAAGTTGTTTTAAGACTAGGAGAAAGTTTTGAGTTTTGAAACTTACAGGATGTTTTTTTAGAACAATGACCTCTTAGTACCTATATGTCAAAAGATCAAAGGTTTCTCAGTGCATGACCCTTTTAAACATTAAAAATGCATACAATCATAAAAGGGTTGTGTGTCAACACGCGTCACAAAAATCCTCGATATACTGAATTTAGTCTATGAGTGTAAACAAACACTATGCATCACTTGACCAGTTGTAGTAAATGTTCTACTACTTTATGAAGGTTCAGGGGAAATCAATCGAGCGCAGAGGGAATCCATGGAGAGGCGAATAGTGACACCAGATACGATAAAGACGCTTTTAATTATGGCGCAGCGTATCACAAATATAAAATACCCATGCAAGACGAAACATACCAAAGCCATAATAAATGTGAATGCCAAGAAAAAAACGGCCTTACCGAGTCAGCGAGGCTTTATCTTTAATCCAGGTTCAACTCCATAGAAGTCCGCTTATAAGCGAATATTTTCAGGCGAATAGTACAAATCCACCTTAGCTCTCATGTAGCGCTTGTAAGGTGGAATGTCGAGGGAAATAAACTTCCAAACTCATTGCAAGTGGCGTCTTGGTGCTCCTACACCTGAAAATGCATCAACCTGTTTTATTTTCGACAGACGTCATGACTATCTCTCCCGTCGGTGTGATGATAAAACATCCATACAGTTCGTGTTATGATATCCAGCACAAATACTGTAAGCTACTAACCCCCGAGCGACTGACAAAGAGCTGACAAGCGTCTAACGCTTTTGCAAACCCATCGTACCTGCTACAATTTAACAGCGCTGATAAACGAGCTCGCCGATCAAAGAGCTCCTCAACTCAACGCCGCCACCTGCCGCTTGAGCAAGGAACAACTTATTAACATACAACAGAGATGACACAGTAGTCGCAGATCCCTGAAAAGGGTATGATAGGATTATAAGCAGTGCTGCGGGTAACTCATTACAAGTAACGCGAGTTACGTAATCAGATTAGTTGAAATTTCTTCTTCTGTATTCTACTGTACGGACGTAAATTTACATTTCCTTCAGCCTGAGGCTTATTCATTTCTCTTTTGGTGTGAAAAGGCTTTTATATTTGCCAAAAATAGAACTTTTTTATTTTAAAAACAAATAAGCAAGCCCTGTCCAGATTTTAAAAGTAACGCAAAAGTAACGTAACGCATTACTTTCCATAAAAAGTAACTAAGTAACGTAATTAGTTACTTTTTTATGGAGTAACGCAATATTGTAATGCGTTACTTTTAAAAGTAACTTTCCCCAACACTGATTATAATCTAGTAGTGTAATGATGATTAGTTCGAGGATTTAATGTAGGTTACTCCGCCTGGCCATAATATAATATTTTACAATATTTATGCGTAGCATATGTCTGCCCAAGCATGAGTTAAATCAATTTTTGCTCAAACTTACCGTATGTTAAACACCTGTTATTCCGATCTGTGAATTTAACAGCTAACTGATCACCTAAAAATATATTTAATGATGATGTTATAATAATAACAATTATTATTATTAGCTATAATTATTGTTGTTGTACATATGTAATTTGTATCAAGTTTCTAATACAGTTCTTTACTATTATTTGTCCTTTAATAGGCTATTATTATTATTAATTTATTATTATTTCTAGTAGCAGCAGAAGTAGTAATAGTATGTCTGTTTTTGCAACACAATGGAGAGATGATGTTTAAAAACATTATATATATATATATATATTGCCTAAGTGATACTGACTTATCTATAAAATCTAGAAAACGTGTATTAGAAATAGGCTATTTCACTTACTACATCATGCTAGCTCATGAGGAAATGCTCAAAAATGATGATAAACCATTACAAAAACATGCATGTGAATACCTCTCTCTCTCTTTCTCTCTCTCTCTCTCTTTCTCTCTCTCTCTCTTTCTCTCCCTCGCTCTCTTCCCATTTTCTTCTTTCCCTTATGTCATACTTGCGCACAAGCTGTTCAAACTACATTTCCCATCATGCATTGCTCGAACACCTCCACCAATCAGATTCCTCGGCCTACCTCCATTGAAAAAAAGAGGCTCGAGTCGAGACTGAAAACGTTGTCGGTGCTGTGTGATTGTTTACACATAGGCCTATCATCAATTTTTTAATATAATAAATGGCCTCGACTTTACTGTCACCCATGGTGGATTATTATAACGACGAGGAAGATCTAGACAGTGTGGATGAAGACGAAGATCGCAGTTTCAGAGGCAGAGACTCGGAAGAAGGTGATTACGCACGATCATTTAAGTTTATTTACCTTTTAATCCCTTTCACTTATGATTTATGGATTGATAGACATGTTTAATTTGTTAATGAGTGAGCTGGCTGTAGATTGGTAATGAAATGCTGGCTCTGTTGTTCATGTGTGTCGAGTTGTTTTCTGCTTAACGGTATTTTAGAGCTCACTTTGCTTTTCGCAACATCGCATGAGCCATTAAATGCATATATTGATATTTTTAGACTTAAATGATGGCTATGTAAGCATTTAACCGTATAACGGTTATGTATGTTCTTATAGTTTCATGTTTTATGTGATATTTAGCCTGTTGATAAACAGTTAGCAGTTAGCACGCGTCAGGAAGCAAATAACGTTAACGTTACATTAAGTAGGATGTGTTGTTATTGTTGTTTTCATACATGCAGCCTCGAAGTCAGGTGCACCAGAGGACTTACTTGATTTCAATGTAACATGTTTTAGGAAATAGATGAGTTATGGTGGCAAAAATGTGGTTGGAGTTGAGCTCCGCTCAGTTAGCCTCTGCTGGTGTCATAAACACATTGAGACAAACGGAGTGTAATCAGACTTCAGAGATCAGATCAAGTGTGCATGACAATTTATTTACACTATCCACTCTTAAAAAAAAAGATTTCAGTAGTTAAGTTACAATATAAGAGCATCTGGGATAATGAACAATTTGTAGGTTTTTGTATTATTAATTACCAACTTTTTCAATATGCATCAAGCTCATCATGCCGTTTTGAGAGAAATAGAAGTATAGCATTCTTAGTTATATCACCTCACCAATGTTGAATGATACCTGATGATCTCATATAATTAATTATTTTGTTGAAATTAAACTGCAGAGCATCTGGTATTATATAATAGGCCAGGGTTTGTCTTCATAGAAAAAAAAAAAAGTAGTTCATTGAAAATTGTCCCCAAAGATTTTCTGAACAAAATGTCTACAAATACTTTTTTTCTTCTTCTTCTTCTTCTTCTTCTTCTTCTTTTTTTCCTTCTTCTTCTTCTTTTTTTGTGGTGACAGTGACTTTAAACTAACATTTTAAATTGTATTATATGTATTGTGCTTGTGCATGCTGTTATCATGACTTAATATTAATTTAGAAACTACAAATCTCTCTTTATATGTAATATTTGTGCTTTTCAAACTTCATTGGTCAAATGGACAATCAAATGAAGTAGTGAAATCAAAAATTCTTTGATAAAGAGTTCACAAGTACAGCATTTATTACAAGTAAAAAACATCTTGCCAGTTTGATCAATTATGCATCCTTGCTGAATTAAAGTATTAATTTATTTTTTAAAAATATCACCTGGATAAAAGCAACTGCTTGAATGCAAGTATCTTTATAAGCAGCTGATGATATAGTATTTTTTATCTATTAGTGTGGGTAGTTGTCTTTTTATTAGTGTGGAAATTTGTGCTTTGTTTATTTATGTGTTTGTTTAATATTTATTATTTGTACTTAAGATTCGTCTTAGAATCAACTTGTGACAGTTCCCATAGCAGTCTGGACAAACACAATATATAATATAATATAATATAGGGCTGGGTAAAAAATATCGATATCTCGATTATAATCGATTCTCATTTTTACGAAACTTTATCGATTCTTAAAGGGATAGTTCACCCAAAAATGCGCACCGGATGCCGTGCGCTCGCTCAAGGCAGTTGGACATAGTGGTGTATTAGAGGTAAAATATGATATAAATACTGTTCGGTTTCTGGCACAAACCGATCGTTTCGTGTCTTAGGACATCAATGTGTCGTCACGAGCTGCAGGGTTTAATTTGGATTTGTCTGTGAATGTTTTTTTACTCTCATAGATTTTGTTACCATTGCCATGCATTATACGACTGATAGACTGCAACGGTTAAAGTTAAAAATCATCAAATGTGTTCTACTGAAGAAACAAAGTCACCTACATCTTGGATGCCCTGGGGGTAAGCAGATAAACATAAAATTTTCATTCTTGGGTGAACTATCCCTTTAAATCGCAAGAATCGATTAGTCTGGCCTGTTTTCAGATAATGGATGGAACATTGAAGGGCACTTCCCATCCAATAAATCACAATAAGCATTGTGCTTTGGTACTTTTAATATGAAACAAAGTCTCAGATTTCAAATTATGTTCACGAATGCCGTTTTGGCACTGTTTAATGTGGACTGGAGTGATCGCTATAGCGCGGCGCGCCTCGGTTCAATAAAAGCGGCAGCGCGAGGCACATGTGAACTGATCATCTCCTCGGGCCCGTATTAACCAAGGCCACAGAGGCGAAAATATTTCATGTTCAAAAATAAAATTTGTTCTTTGAATTAGGGCTGCACGATTAATCGAATGCGATTGTCATGCGCATTTTGATAGTAATGCCGGTTCTGTAATCAGCAGTAAATCATCATCACGTGCTTTCAGATGGAGCAGCATTTACTACACATAGCCGTAGTTCACTGACAAATCGCAGACGATTTTATTGCGCGATTCTGAAATCGAAGAAATCGTTGCCATAGAAGAACCATTTTTGGTTCCACAAAGAACCATTCAGTCAAAGGTTCTTTAAAGAACCATCTCTTTCTTACCTTTTTATAATCTGAAGAACCTTCTTTCGCCACAAAGAACCTTTTGTGAAACAGAAAGGTTCTTCAGATGTTAAAGGTTCTTTATGGAACCATTTAGACAAAAAAAAAAAGGTTCTTCTATGGCATCGTGAAGCACCTTTATTTTTAAGAGTGTAGTATTCAGATTATTCAAATTTATTAAAAGGCAAGCAGATGAACCCGGAATATGAACGCACCGCGCTGAATTTAACTGCTTTCCTCCCATAGAAAACTTATAAAGAATAAAGTGTGTATATATTATATATAAACATATATTTTTTGATTAATTTAATGTTCTACCCCAAGAAAACGCTTAACGTGCAACTCAGCGTGTTGCGTTCGTATTCTGGGCTATATTCTGCTTGTCTTTAAATGGTATATGCTTTATTAATAAGGTGTGTGTTGAACTTGGTCCCCCAAACTGTTTTAAGCCAAATTAACTCTTTTCAGAATGTCCCGTTTATCATTATAGACCACTATCCTGTGACCAATGTGTTTATAAAGCCATTAAGTCAATTTCGACTTTTTTAAAGTCATAATTTTGACTTTTTATCTCATAATTGCGACTTAGTCATAATTTTGACTTTTTTTTCTTACGAGCGGAAATGGGCTTCCATAGGAAAGGCTAGAGAGTAAAGAAAGATATGTCTTAAAAATGAGATTAAACTGCCATGTATGTCCACTAGATGGTGCTGTATATGTGCAGTTATCACTTCAATAAACTCTATGGCATCCCAAAAGGAGTTCAGTGGGGTCAAGTTTGGGTTTTGTGCAAGAGAGTCATGTCTTATCCTATAGTGTATAATTAATTTATTGCTGTATTGTTTGTTATAGACACAGAAGATGCCAGTGAAACAGATCTGGCCAAACATGATGAGAACGATTGTGTTGAAATCAAAGAACAGTAAGTATTCATTTATTCATGACAAACGCACACAAATCTATCATAAATGAAAAGCCGGTGAAAATAACGTATATGAGTTACGTTATGCTTTCAGTTGCATGTTATGAAATAAAACTGGATCATTTCTTTGAGATGTTGTGTTTATGTCTTGATTTCAGGATGTATCAAGACAAACTGGCATCCCTGAAAAGACAGCTACAACAACTGCAAGAAGGTGACTGGAAATACATATATTCACTATTGAAATTATTATTTTTAGAAATGCACAATACATTTTTTTTGAGTCAAGCACTTTAATAATGAAAGTTTAAATGCGAAAGTACACTGAATTTATATTTTCTTTTATTTGCAAATGTTACTGTACATCAACAGTTTCATAATAAGTAAAAAAAGAACTATGCTTTTCTTTTAAAACAAAAAAACAAAAACATGTTTAATTACTATTAACTTTAATATATCCGTCACACGCTTGAGGTATTCGGTCAATCACAACGCACTGGATAGCTGGTCAATCACAGCACACCTCGCTTTTTCAGACCGATTTGTTTTGTAAAAATCGACGCGTTTCAAAAAGGCGGGGCATAGAGGAGAAACAATAATGTACAGTATGTGGAAAATGTGTTTTTTTTACTTTAAACCGCATAAACACATTTCATTACACCAAATACACAAAATAATGTTCTTTTTAGCAGCATCATATGACCTCTTTAAACAGCCTGTAAACAACAATGTTGTGCCCGCAATTTTTGCGTTAATATTTTTAATAGCTGCTTGCGCTTGCTTAGAATAAATGGACTAATGTTATTTGAATCCCTTGAGTTCATTCGAGCACTCCGTCATGTGGCCAGAACACATACACATTCATAGAAATTATATTTAATTTCTATACGGCCGTCTTCTATCGTACCACACACAGAACCAAATTGATTTCTCGTTTGCAATTTCTAATAACGTAAGTTGCACAGATATATCTATCAGATAAAATAATAGACACAATATAGCTTGAGCTCAGCCAGTTGATCAACACGTATCATCATATCGTCATGATTTCTTAATGTTAAAGCATTTAGGGATAAAGTACGAGCCTCTGAAACGCAGCTCTGATATGAATCGTATTGTGATACTAAAAAGTTTTACTGTACTTAAATAGAACAAATAAACGATTTCGTACCAAGAGTTGCTGAACAATAAATCAAAGGAGCGTTGCTTTATGATCAGGGAGAGTGATTTGTTATCACAAATAGCCTAGTTTTTGTAGCCTACATTATTCATGGCATGAGCACTTATGAATTCAAGCAGATTGGTAATTATGAATCTATGCTTCACTGTCGAATCGCGATCTCGATTCCATTTCGATTTATCGTGCAGCCCTACTGTATAGTTTAAATTTGAACTTCTACCTCCACTATTTCCCAGTCTCTTCTGTAGTGTCGGTGTCCCCAAATTTCAGAATGCCGCAAAGCAATCGGTTTAGCGCGTTTACATGGCAGAATTTTAATTTCGCTCGGTTTATAGAAAGGTTTATCCCACCCCTCTCAAACCGATTACAATTTCATTCAGTTTGGGCATTTTTTATTCCGACTGAGGTGTTTACATGGAGCATTTTCATTCGGATTGGACTTTTAAACCGATTACAATGCTCCATGTGATACCCGTAAAAAATTTCAATATTTTTTTGAGAAATATGTTGATAATTGTCTAACAAGGTGATGTAGCCTAGTCGTTAATGCACTGGGCTGATAGGTTCAAAGCATGTAAGAGGTAATCTATCACCATTGTGCTCCTGATCCGGACAGCTTATTCCAGTGAGATTGTTCCTGTAATAAATGTACAGTACATCACTGTGGATAAAAAATGAGATCACTTCCATACCTATGCATTTCCACAGGCACACTGCAGGAGTACCAGAAGAGAATGAAGAAGCTTGATCAGCAGTATAAAGAGAGACTTCGTAGTGCTGGTAAAGATAATATATAATAAAGCTTTTCTTCTCGATGTCAATGTCAATATTTCAAGAGCCAACATTACGTTATTAATGCTCATCTCATTTTCTGTCCTTCTCCTCCCATCTCTTTATCTTCTCAGACCTCTTTCTGCAACTTGAGGTAAGCTGCAAATTATACATTTTGTGTATCTGTGGATTTTTGAACAGCTGTGACAGGTTAATTAATGTTAAATGTCTTGTAGACAGAGCAGGTGGAGAGGAACTACATCAAAGAGAAAAAAGCAGCGGTGAAGGAATTTGACGATAAGAAAGTGGAACTGAAGGAAAATCTTATTGCAGAGCTGGAGGAGAAGAAGAAGATGATTGAGAATGAGAAATTAACTATGGAGCTGACAGGAGGTGAGAAAGTAAAACACAGAGATCAGATAGAAACGTGCAACCCGAGAGGGTTTTTTTGCAAGCCATTCTTAATATTGCTGTTGTCGAGAATAAGATCCCGTTCCTATAGCTGAATGTTTAGCTATTCTCTTTTGTGTTAAAAGAAAAAAAAAACCCTGAAGCAGTAGTTTAACCAAAAACTTATAATTTCTCCCTCATGCTATTCCACACCTGAATGACTTTTTTTCTGCGGAACACAATAAGAAAATGTTTTTTTCCATGCAGTGAACAAAGACTAAGGGACTTTCAAGCTTCAAAAAGATAAAAAACAAAACAAAAAAAAAGCACCATAAAAGTATCACTCCTTAGTGAATTCACAAAAGAAGTAGCAATGTCCTGTTCATAAATGTATCGTTCTTTTGAGTCAAAGAATCGTTGTTCTGATTTATAAAAGCAAACTGAATGATTTGTTCACAGGTCCACAAGTTCAATACACAGACTCAATGATCCAGTCACAGTGGTTAACTCACTGGAGAGGGCAATTATCATTGAAAAAATACTTACATTTTGGTCTGTTCGTCACACAAAGCTATTGTATGACTTCAGAAGACACTTTCTTTATATTTTTATGCTGTTCTTTCGTAATTTTTTGAAGGTTGAAAGCCTTAGTTGCCATACATTGCATGAAAAAGATTGACTATTACAGCCTTGACAATTTCTCATTTTTGTTTAGATTCCATGGAGATGAAACCTATTATGACCCGGAAGCTCCGGAGACGACCCAATGACCCTGTGCCCATTCCAGACAAGCGGAGAAAGCCTCCACCTGATATCCTTAACCTAGCTGTAGAGACCCAGCACATGCACTGAACACAAGGGCTCATCGTTTATGCATCTGTAGCACTCTATGGCATTTAATTCCCTGAAGTCCATTTCTAGTGCTAGTCAAACTCTTTGGCACCAAAAACAATGGAATGCATGACCTTTAGTATTAAACAGGCTGTTATTGCTGCTGCACCTTTTAAGAGTTCATTATATTAAGCAGGCTTTCTTAACTCTCCTCACCTCAGTTAAACTATTTACTCACTGATGAACAGATCATGGAGGATCTAAGAACATTAAACAAGGTAGGGTTACGTCTCAGCAAGACTGTAATTGGCTCCATGAAGCCTAGCTAAGTACAAATTTCACTGCCTCACAGATACAGTATTATAGTACTTTTTGGCCTAATTTTCAATATGTCTTATTCTACAGCAATACCATCGTCAATCAAATTGTAATGCACTTGCATATTCGTTTGCAGGCTATGAGATGAGGAAAAAGTGTGATAGAAAAAGTTTCATCAATTTCCATTTCGATCAAAATGCAATGAAAGTCTTCATGACTCACGTCTTGGCTTTGAAGAAAGGATCTTTATTTATTTATTTTTTTTCCTAAAAGCTCTCAATTAGGTAAGTAATTGGCTCCATGAAGCCTAGCTAAGTACAAATTTCACTGCCTCACAGATACAGTATTATAGTACTTTTTGGCCTAATTTTCAATATGTCTTATTCTACAGCAATACCATCGTCAATCAAATTGTAATGCACTTGCATATTCGTTTGCAGGCTATGAGATGAGGAAAAAGTGTGATAGAAAAAGTTTCATCAAAATTTCCATTTCGATGAAAATGCAATGAAAGTCTTCATGACTCACGTCTTGGCTTTGAAGAAAGGATCTTTATTTATTTATTTATTTTCCTAAAAGCTCTCAATTAGGTAATAAAAAGTAGAATCCCCTGAAAATGTCATTGTGTTTTATTACTCAAAGTGATATATGAGAAAATGCATATATTACGTGGTGATAAGAAGAAATTGGCTGTTTTTAAAAGAAAGAAAAAAAGCTGCAAACCAAGAAAAAAAAAATAGTAAATAGAAAGGAAAATAGTTTTTAGACTCTGACATACTATTGGATTTACTGCTGATTTGACCAAGATATCACGTTGATTGTCCATGGCTGTCGTTTTTTTAAAAAACTGAGATTGCTGAAGAAAATCAAAACAATCTTCCTTATTTGCTTTATTTCCTTTATAGCTTAAATCTCCGAAAAGACCAGGTACGGACGTTTTGTCTTTTAGAGGTGATTCCCCATATACTTCACCAGAAATTTCCCATCAGTTTATTTTAGCCACAAAGGCTTTAAAATGAATGTGTGTGATGTTTTTCAGTGTCCCCGTCTTCTCCTGTGGAGCACCTCCCGCCGACTCCAGTGGACGCCCCATCCCTGCGTTATGAGGCACGGATAGAGGAGGGGAAACTCTACTATGATAAGAGATGGTAAGGTTCTCTGCGTTCTACTGGGCTTTTTCACACTTTTCTAACCCCAGGTACTTGTAATTCTGGGTTATTGTGTTTCACACTGTTCATTCTTCATTACACTGTTCAGTTCTTTAGATGTCACACTGTATATCTCTTAAGTCTGGCATGACATGCTGATTTGCGTATTTATGAGGTCAGCGACTAAATAATGTAGGTTTAATTTAATGGTGTAGTTACAGCTTCTTCCAGATAATTGTGTATGCTTGCCATCCAAACCTTGACCCTCTGATTCTTGCAAGACCTTAAAGGGATAGTTCACCCAAAAATGAAAATTCTGTCATCATTTACTCACCCTCATGTCGTTCCAAACCTGTATGAGTTGCTTTCTTATGTTGAACATAAAAGAAGATATTTTGAAGATTGCTGGTAATCAACCAGTTGGTGGTTGCCATTTACTTCCATAGTAGGAAAAAAAAAATACTATGGAAGTCAATGGCAACCACCAACTGTTTGATTACCAGCAATCTTCAAAATATCTTCATTTATGTTCAACATAAGAAAGCAACTCATACTGGTTTGGAACGACATGAGGGTGAGTAAATGATGACAGAATTTTCATTTTTGGGTGAACTATCCCTTTAAAACCTAAAGAAATCTTACAGTCACGCTCTAGTATTTTATACTGACCACAAGATGGAGCAATCGTCCTTCTGATTTTCAATTCTATTTTATTATAGTTACATAAAGGACAAAGTCACATCACAGAGCTGGACTAAACTGAGACAAGACAGACTTAGAGCTTCTATCTATCTATCTGTCTGTCTGTCGTTCTATCTATCGTTCTG